TATAACTACTTCGCATTTGAAAGGTAAAGACGTTTTTGAAAAATTTTTGAAATGGATAACAATGATACTAATAATAACGTACCATCTTCTGACAATAATTTACCTACTGATAACACCTCCAACTTACCACCTTCTGACAATAATTTACCTACTGCTAACCCTTCCAACCTATTTTTTTCTGATATTCCTACCAATACAACCCGTTTACAATCATCATCTTCTCCTGCTATTCCTACCAACACTTGTTCACAATCATCTGCTATTCCTACCAATAAAACTCGATATAAATCGGTAACTGGATCTTATAAACGATCTCAAAAATATGACAGTGATTCTTCAGATTCATCTAAAAGTATTAGAAGTGTACAGGAAATATTTGAGCAAATGAAAGGTAAACGAACCACATCATGACAAGCCGCCCAATCAAGACAAGCCGCTTAATCAAGGCAGCCATCGCATTCGCGACAACCATCACCTTCTCATTCTCGTTCTCCTCAACGTAGATCGCATTCTATCGATCGAGATAGATCATTATCGCTGCAGAAATCACAGGGAAGATCTTGATCACGAGATCATCGTGATGGTATATAAGATCTTTTTTTTTTTTGATCTCTTTAGATGATGATCTTATGATCTTACCCTTTTTTTTTTAAATTTTTTTAAATTTTTTTTTTAATACACTGGATTCGAAGAATGTGTGAGCAATTACCGCCGGCAAGTTGATGAGAGACTCTTCACTCAAAATCAGCAGCTATACCTTTTAATGAAAAGGTTGAGTGAGGACGTACGGGAAATTAAAAGCGAATTAAAAAAGCAGTGAGTTGACATGGAAAATGAGCTCTCACAGAAGGTCCTGGACGTGAGTACTCGATACTTATAAAGATTGTAATGAAAACGTTCTAAATTTTTATTTTTTATAGGACGCATATACTGGTGTTGCAAAACACCTCTTCCCAAGTCATGTTTACCCTACCCAGGCTGTAATCAAGGAGACTTTTAAGTCCTATATGGATGAAATGTTTC